GTGCAGTTGAAACATACATACACGGGTCAATTGAATGACAAGATGGCTGGATTCTACAGGTCCAAGAGGAGGGACGGACAATATTTGGCAGTCACTCAGTTTGAGGCCACTGACGCCAGGAGGGCAATGCCTTGCTTCGATGAGCCTGCATTGAAGGCAGAGTTTACCGTCACCCTGGTTGCCGACGAGGGCATGACATGTCTATCCAATATGGATGTTGCATCGACCGAAACTGTGCACTCGGACATCATAGGTGGGAAGAGGAAGGCTGTCAAATTCAATCGATCTCCTAAAATGTCGACTTATCTGTTAGCATTCATTGTTGGGGAATTGAAATCGATCTCTACCGACAAGTTCAGATTGCCCATCAAAGTGTGGATGACCCCGGAGCAGAACGAGGAAGATGGAAGATTTGCGCTCGACGTTGCTGCCAAAACTCTAGCATTCTATGAGGAGGCTTTTCAAGCCCCCTACCCACTGCCCAAGATGGACATGGTGGCAATCCCAGACTTTGCTGCTGGTGCAATGGAGAACTGGGGTTTGGTCACTTACCGCGTGGTGGATCTCCTCTTTGACGAGAAGTCGGCGGGTGCTGCGACCAAGGAGAGAGTGGCAGAAGTTGTGCAGCATGAGCTGGCGCACCAGTGGTTCGGAAATCTGGTGACAATGGACTTCTGGGACGGTCTGTGGCTCAATGAAGGGTTTGCGACCTGGATGAGCTGGTATAGCTGTAACGAGTTCTACCCTGAATGGCGGGTGTGGGAGACCTTCGTGATCGACACCTTGCAATCAGCGTTGGGGTTGGATGGTCTCCGAAGTTCGCATCCGATCGAGGTACCTGTACATCGTGCCGAGGATATCAATCAGATCTTCGACGCCATCTCCTATTCCAAGGGGTCCGCAGTCCTAAGAATGATTTCAAAGTATCTCGGCGAAGACACCTTTATCGACGGGGTGAGGAGGTATATCAAGAAACATGCCTGGGGAAACACACAAACCAGCGATCTCTGGAACGCTTTGGGTGAGGCGAGTGGCAAGGATGTGGCCCATGTGATGGACATTTGGACGAAGAACATTGGGTATCCAGTCGTCACAGTGACGGAAAATGAGAAGGACTCGACCATCACAGTCAAACAAAACAGATTCTTGCGCACAGGTGACGTCAAACCCGAAGAGGACAAGGTTCTCTACCCGGTAATTCTCGGATTGAAGACAAAAGATGGGGTGGATGAAAGTGTAATGCTCACTGATAGGGAACAGACGTTCCCCATCAAGGGCGGGCTGGAATTCTACAAGTTGAATGCAGACCACTCGGCCCTCTATAGGACCAGTTACACGCCACAGAGACTGACAAAGCTTGGTGAAGCAGCGAAGAAGGGGCTTCTTTCGGTCGAAGATCGAGCTGGTATGATCGCTGATGCCGGTGCCCTCGCCGCTAGTGGATACGGCAAGACCTCTGGCATTCTGAGCCTCTTGCAATCGTTCAATACCGAGACCCAGTTTGTGGTTTGGAACGAGATTTTGAGTCGGATCAACGCCGTGAGGAATACGTGGATCTTTGAGGATGAGTCGATCAAGGACGCACTCAAGGCGTTCCAGCTGAACCTGACATCGGCAAAGGCCCACGAGCTGGGATGGGAGTTCGCTGAGAACGAAGACCACATCCTAAGTCAGTTCAAGAGCCTGATGTTTGGGTCCGCAGGTCTGGCAGGCGACGCGAAGATTCAGGCCGCAGCAAAGGAGATGTTTGGGAAGTTCATGCAAGGAGACTATTCTGCGATCCACCCCAACCTCCGGTCGTCGGTATTTGCAATGGCGCTGAGAGACGGTGGAGAGAAAGAATGGGATGCACTGGTGGCGAGGTACCACTCTGCGCCAACCTCGGACGAGAAGAATACTTGCTTGCGCACCCTTGGGCGTGCTAAGGACCCTCAATTGATCAAGAAAACACTTGACTTTGCGTTGAGCGGGCAAGTCAAGATGCAAGACATCTACATGCCCATTGGTGGCCTGGGAACTACTTCGGAAGGCATCGAGAGAAGGTGGGAGTGGATGTGTACCAACTGGGATGAACTCGTGGAGAAGCTACCTCCCAGCATGACCATGTTGAGCAGTGTGGTGAGCATCTGTACGGCAGGCTTCACCTCCGATGCACAGCTGAAGAAAGTCCAAGAATTCTTTGAAGGCAAAGACAAGAAGGGATTTGACCGCAGCTTGCAACAGAGCATGGACAGTATCCGGGCCAAGGCGAACTGGTTAGCTCGGGACGGGCAAGATGTGCAGGAGTGGCTGAAGAGCAATGGGTATTTGAAAGGGGTTGTTGGTGGGAAGCTGTAGGAGATTCTCTCGCAGAGGGCGGCTGTATTAGTAGTAGATGATACAAAGGACGCATAGATTGCTTCACGGGCTACAAGCATTGTACTTGTATCTAGATAGCTGGACAAAACAGATCTCGTGACAGTATCGATGATTTGGTACCTGGCAGCCTGGCAAGGCTGTGGATGGGGTGACAAGGCTGAGCCGTGAGGGGAGAAACAAGGTGCAGTGGTGCCACCCGCCCAAGCCGCTGCTACGAGTAAGTGGCTCGATTCGGGTTGATTGATCCAGGGTCGCCAGGGTGGATGCTTCCACCAATCACGATGATCACGTACCTGGCATCATCTCCTTTGTACAAGTTCGGACCAAATTAATTTTCTGGTGGCCACTGGCTAAATACTCGGCTGCGCTGCCAACCATCCCCAACACTCTCCTACTCAATTCACGACAATCACATTCGTTTCCTCACTCTGTCGTTCTGCCCTCCGTCTCCGACTCCCTCAACACCCTCGGTCTGCCGCCTTCAGGTCCTCACGCTCGGCGCAATTGGGAATAGCAATGGGTGTGCTTGCGACGTTGTCACAATCGGCCGAGCGCCTCCTTGGTTCCCTACCCACCTGGCAACTCGTTCTTCTCGGCTTCGTCGCTTTCCTCGTGATCTCTGTGGCATGGAATATTACAAGACAACTGTTGTTCAAAGATAAAAACGCGCCGCCAGAGGTTTGGAGTTGGTTTCCTGTGCTGGGAAATACGTACGTTTGATCCGGAAAGGGAATACACCGCTGGCTGGCTGGCTGATTGACTGACTGTCGGTTGAACCTTAGGATATGGTACGGCATGGATCCCTTCGACTTTTTTTTCACATGCAAAGCGAAATACGGCGACGTCTTTACCTTCATCCTGCTTGGTCGACGAGTCACCGTCTGTTTGGGTACCAAGGGCAACGAGTTCATTTTGAATGGCAAATTGAAGGATGTGAATGCCGAGGAAATCTACACAGGACTGACCACACCGGTGTTTGGGGAAGGTGTCGTGTACGACTGCCCCAACTCCAAACTGATGGAGCAGAAGAAGTTTGTGAAATTCGGGCTCACTATGGAGGCCTTCCAGTCCTACGTGGACCTGATCTCGAGTGAAACCAAGTCCTTTGTGGAGAAAGGCAGACCCTTTCGGTCTCATTCTGGGACAATCGACATTGTCCCCGCCATGGCCGAATTGACAATCTACACGGCATCCCGATCTCTCCAGGGCCCTGAAGTGCGGGCCAAGTTCGACTCGACCTTTGCCGACTTGTATCATGATCTAGATATGGGGTTCTCGCCCATCAACTTTATGCTGTCGTGGGCTCCTCTCCCGCACAATCGCAAGCGAGATATTGCACAGAAAAAAATGACGGACACATACATGGAAATTATCAAACAACGACGTGCTGCGGGCGGCAAGCGGGAAAAGGGAGACGAAGACATGATTTGGAATCTGATGGGCTGCGTGTACAAGGACGGCACGCCAGTTCCGGATCGAGAGGTGGCACATATGATGATCGCGCTCTTGATGGCGGGCCAGCACTCTTCGTCCTCGACCTCGAGTTGGATTCTGCTGAGACTGGCGACAAGACCCGATATCCAGGAGGAATTATTGGAGGAGCAGAAGCGTGTGCTTGGAAATGACCTCCCACCCTTGACATATGAGAGTCTTCAAAAACTCAGCCTGAATGCGAAGGTGGTGAAGGAGACACTCAGATTACACGCTCCGATCCACAGCATTCTTCGCAAGGTCAAGTCACCAATGGCCATCGTGGCCAACACGCCGACCTCGACAAAAACATATCAGATACCGACCAGCCATACACTCTTATCCGCGCCAGGCGTGACCTCGCGAGAATCCGAATTCTTCCCTGACCCCATGAAATGGGAACCACATCGCTGGGATGAAGGCCATCCTCTTGCGTACACGCGGATGGGCCAAGAAAAGGAAGAATTCGAAGACTACGGCTACGGCATGATCAGCAAGGGGGCTTCTTCCCCATATCTCCCGTTCGGCGCAGGCCGACATAGGTGCATTGGCGAGCAATTCGCCTATGTACAGCTTGGGGCGGTGCTCGCGACGATGGTGAGACATGTTAAATTCCGACAGATTGAGGGCAAGCAGTTGGTGCCCACGGATTACTCGAGTTTGTTTTCGAGGCCGATGGCGCCGGCGGTGGTCGAGTTTGAGAAGCGAGAGAAGGTGTAAGAGCTGCGCGCGATGAGCAGCAACCTTTACAGATAATGATACTATTAGAGAGAAGGAAATGTACATAGCACAACAAGACTATTAGAACGTCGTCCCGTGCACAAGATACCATGTTCTTGTTGTATTCGGTCTTTTGTGATAGTTCGGCGCTCATTGCTGGCATTGGGGCGCCGAGGCATGGATCCTGAGCCAGTCATATTGGATATTACGGAGGATGACCTCGCATCGCACGCCGAGCCACTCGGCGCTTTGCTGTGGAATGAGTGCCATAAGGCAAGGCAGATCATGGATGGCCCGAAGCCGAGCTTCATGAGAGGACCAGCTGCTCCAGTGCTAGGGTTTGCGGATGACATGGGCTGACGAGCGCGTTTCTGCTGAATATCATCGTGGCCATTCGAAATTGCCAGACTCGTATACTTCTCTTTTCACACAAGCTACACTGAGCGTTAACCATGATCTCAACCATCTCGCAGCAATCACTTCTGCTCTTTTTGCCGCCGCTCGTGATCCTAGCGGCATGTCTGCTGAAACTGGCCTCGTTGACGTCTCGATGGAAGGGTGCGCCGCCTGGTAAGTGAGATGTTATCAATGGCGTGGCTCGCCTGATGCGATGGGCGATTGGGGTTTGAGGACTGCAGCTCACGATGCTCTCGAGGTCCGCCGACGAGACTGTTTATTGGAAATCTGCACCAAATACCCAAAAGAGACCTACATTTGCAGTATCAGCGATGGGGTCAAGAGTGTGAGTCGACCACAGCCAGGGGCAAGAGATGGGCCTATTTCTCACTCACTTATTCTCTTTCCTGCACCAACAGACGGGCCGATTTTCTCACTGAAGCTGGGTTCCCAGAACGTTGTCGTCCTGACCAGTGGTGAACTCATCAAGAGGGTCGTCGACAAACGGAGTGGCAACTACTCGGATCGGCCCAAGCTCTACATGCAAGATGTCTGGGAAGGCTCCAGGATCATCATGCGAGGCTACGACTCCTTGTGGAAAGTCGAGCGTAAGCTCTACCATCAATTCCTGAACATCAATAAGGCGGCGCGCTATGTGCCGTACCAGGACCTGGAGACCAAACAGATGCTGGTCGACCTCTTGTCAGACCCTGATGACTTTGAGAATCTCATCACGCGGACAACGTTGAGCATGGCGACGAGCATGGCATACGGGTTCCGCGTCCTCGATCCCAAGAGCGAGGTCATGCAGGAGCTGTTCACCAACACCCACGGCTTCTTCGTCATGGTGAACCAAAGTAAGCTCTTGGACTGGTATCCGCAGCTGAGGCCCTTGGTCAGCGCCATGCCGTCGTGGTTGTACCCGATGGCGAGAAAGGCCAAGCACGTCTTTTATCGAGAAAGGGCCCAATTCCGCCAGTTGTATGAGGCGGCAAAGCGCGCTGCCGAGGGCGACAACTCCCTTCCCAGTGAGTGCTGGAATCATACGCAGGATTCAGTCACGTCGTCAAGTACGTTTACTGACTGAAGCGGCCCTCTGATTGGTTTTGCAGGCTTTTCGACCGACATCAGCAAGGCGAAAGAGTCCTGGAAAGGCACCGAGAACGGAGCTCTTCTCACGGACCACGCGGCCTCTTACATTGCAGGGATCGCAATGGAAGGAGCAGCAGACACGACAAGTAACACTCTCGCCGGCATGATCAAGGTAAAAAGAACGATGTTTCATCCCTGCGGAGTTGTGTTTGCGAGTACCAGCTGACAAGAACGTCCAAGGCCATGATGCTATTTCCCTCTGTCCAGGAAACTGCTCAGAAGGAGTTGGATACCGTCGTTGGCCCAGACAGGCTGCCAACCATGGACGATTTCGAATCGCTTCCTTATATTCGCCAGGTCACCAAAGAAGCATTGAGATGTATGGCCGAGTTGTCTCCTGGCTTTATTGAGTAAATTTCTGTGTATGGCTCACTCTGGATCACTCTATCTAGGGCTTCCTACCGCCATCAGTGGCGCCATTCCGCACGCAGCCCTCACAGACGATGAAGTCGATGGATATAAAATTCCAGCCGGCTGCACCATTGTGTTGGCAGTGTGGTCTGCCAACAACGACCCTGACCTTTTCCCAAATCCTCGAGAGTTTGACCCCACCAGACACAACGCCGACCTCACTTTCCACGAGGCCTCGTCCGCATCCGACTATAGAGACCGAGACAACTGGACCTTTGGGGCCGGAAGACGAATCTGTCCCGGTATTCATGTTGCGGAGAAGACGCTGTTCCTGGCCACTGCTCGCTTACTGTGGACATTCAACATCTCCAAGGCCAGGGATGATCAGGGCCGAGAGATTCAAGTCGACCGAGACGAGGTGACCCAGTCCATCGCCGCTCGTCCATTGCCGTTCCCGTGAGTGAAGCCCTGGATTTTCTTTGTTGACTTTGACGTTTGTTTTGCCACTCAATCGACCGACCGAGGTTTCTAATGTGCTTGTCTTTCTTAGGTGTCAATTGACCCCTCGCAGCGACAAATGTGTAAGGATTGCTCGGGCGGAATGGGAAGAGTCCCAAAAATTGTTGGACGACGAGGGCAACTACAAGCACAGCGTCCTGGACTGAGAGACAAGAGAAAAAAAATCACCAGGGGAGAGAGGTTCCTGGTGCTTTACAGAGAGGACCACGTGGAGTATAACCATCCACATACATGAATAGACCAAGGTAGAAACGCCAATTCTGCCAGCCACATGTCATTTTTCCGGGGAAACCTCGAAGCAGGACCTGAGGCGAACAAATTTAAAAGGCGTCCGGAATGTGACTAGTGTGACACTCGGTTATACGAATATTTTGTTTTCTTTGACGGTTGTTTGACCCTGTTCTAGCACTGTTAGGATCTTGACCTGCATATATGTGTACCGCGTGTCTGGAGGTGATACTATGAACAACGACACTCCCAGCACTCCCCCTCGCAGAGTAGCGTAGAGTCACATAGTGTAAATCCTACAGTATGTCCTCCTGACCTCGATTCATGAACCGGACCGTCGATCACCTAGATGACCCCCCTCTGCAGCACCAACCCGCCGTCGCAGGGGATGACGGCGCCGTGCACGAACCCGGCCATCTCGCTGCACAGGAACATGAGCAGCCACGCGACGTCCTCGGGCGTCCCCAGCCGGCGCACGGGCGTGATGGCGGCCAACTGCGCCGGCGCGTCGGCCGGGCTCGTCTGCCGAAACAGCTCTGTGTCGATCATGCCGGGGCACACGACGTTGATGCGCACCCCGCGGGGGCCGTAGTCCTGCGCGTCCGCCTTGGCGAACCCGACGATGCTGTGTTTCGACGCGCAGTACGCCGACATGCCGCTCGAGGCGTTGAGCCCCGCCAGCGACGACACTGACACGATGCTCCCCTTGCCCGTGTGGCCCGGTCGCGGGTCTTGTTGGATCATTTGCCGGATCTCGGCTTGGTGGCATAGCCAGGTCTTTTTTAGCGGCGAGGAAAAGTTAGATCTATGTAGATGAGACTTGGGAGGAGAGAGAGAAGACTTTTCGTCTTGAGGAGAAACTCACCCCGTATTCATTGACCCGGATCGTCCGGTCGTACGTCTCGACGTCGAGATCCACGATCTTCTTCCTCTGCGGCACCACGCCGGCAATGTTCAGCGCGTAGTCGACCCGTCTGAACGCCGCCACGCACGACGCGACCATGTCCCTCACCGAGGCCTCGTCGGCGATGTCGGTGCGCTGGATCTCCACCCTCACCCTTGCAGCGACGTTGCCCCGCTGCTGCTCCTCCTGGATCTGTCTTCTCGTCTCCTCGAGCCCGGCCAGGTCAATGTCCGCGAGAAACAGGGACGGGCATCCCGCGCGAGCGATCGTAACGGCTGTTCCTCTGCCAATGCCTGGAGGATATCAGGCGTATCAGGTGTCGGTTCTTTTAAGTGGTTCCTCGTACGAGGACGGGCAGAGAGGGGGTGTCGCTCTGAAAAAGAAAGGGGAGGGAAGCGAAGGGAAGATGTATGTACCTGAGGATGCTCCAGTGATCAGACAGACTCCTGGTAGGGCGAGGGACATGTTTCTGTTCCTCCTTTCCGCTTTGTCTCTCGTCTGGGATGGATACGTGAATACCGTGAATACCGTGGATGCCTGAATACTTCAATCCCGCGGTACCTCGACGGGTTCTCAAAATATTGATATGGAGAATTTCTCTTATTATCACTAACCCCTACAACAGCGGCCTCGTCAATAACCAGACAACAAAAGATATGTCAGGTATCAGGCCTGCCACCAATGAGCATTATGGCATGGTAGCGGCACCGAGGCCGTAGATCCACCGACTTGACTCGACTCCGCACGCCAGCCGAGAACAGTGGGACAACACCGAGCGTTCATGATCTTATAGACGCAGCCAGATGCATGGGTTGCCGAGTGGGAATGAACAATAATTAAACCGACAAAAAAAGGGTTAGAATGAGACACCGCCATCGTTGGGTTGGCATTTGAACGAGACCGTCTTGTCCATCCTCGTTGTCTTTCCTCCAGCATGTCGTCTTCGTTTCCGGGTGTTGCAGTCGTTATTGGGGCTGGGTCGGGTAAGGCTCTATCTATCTAAAAAACCCTTCTCTGCTATATACAAAGCTCAGCATTACCACGGCAGGAGACGGGAGGGCCGTGGCTCACTTGCTCATCCAAAACGGCTGCACGAAGCTCGTCCTCGGTGGTTCAGACGACGGTCGTCTCGAAGAGGTGGTCAAGGAGTGCCACGCCCTGATCCAGGGGCACGCGGACCTTCAGATCCTCAGCAGAAAGTGCGACTCGAGAGAACCTCGCGACGTGGACGAGTTGATCGCCGCAGCGGTCGCCAGGTTCGGCCAGATCGATTACTGTGCCAATTGCGAAAGGCCGGATGGGTTCTACGGCGAGACGACCGAGACTCCCTGGGCGACTTTCACCACGGCCGGGGAGCGCTGGCAACGAGGTGTACGTACGACCATCTCTTCTAACTCTGATATCTTTCATCCGCTAAACAGGGATGATTTAACTTTGTACACCAATGTGTCTTACTCATGACAGGTCTGGCTGGCCATGCGATCAGAGGTGCGTCAATTCCTGGCTCAAAAGGCCAACCGACAACCCAGCGCGGCCAGCATCGTCAACGTCTCGGCAGCCCACGGCCTGGCCAGCGACCCAGGCTTTCCCAGTTACAGTGCCGCCGCCCACGGCATCGTCGGGATGAGCAGGGCCACGGCGCTGGACCATCTCTCCGACAGCATCCGCATCAATTGCGTCTGTCCCGGCCCTTCATCTCCTCAGACACTATCTGAGCAGACGCAGGATGGTAGCGTCCCACGACGCTCTCTACCACTCGGTCCCCTGGACCGGGAGATTACGCCAGACGAGGTCGCGCGAGCGGTGGTGTTTTTGTTGGGCGAGGCGTCCAGTGCAATCACGGGGATAGAGTTGCCAGTCGATGGTGGGTGGAGTCTTCGACATCATTAGAAGTTTGGTGTGTCACAGTGAAAAGGTTGATCGATTGATCTGAGTGCTTTGAGGGCATGAGACGAGTCTATATAATGGCCATAACAAAAGGCTAGCAACGGGCAAGGGTAGGAAATTCTATGCTCGTGGTCACGTGTTGGCGTGGTATTGACCGGGGAATACTGATATACAGAATGGCCGAGTACTCGTTTTATACATATTACATAAGCCCCCGCACTGTTGTCCATCGTTGACTCGACTAGTCTCCCGCCGCTCTACTCTCGTGCTAACGACTATTCAGTCCAAACGCTCCACCGTCCGCTCTTTCGCCCTACCCCTCAACTCTCTTCCGATCCCTTACGGCTGGAGCCCGAATGAGAACTCGATGTGCAAAAATGTGAAGTCGGAAGAAGCCCTCCGCGCCGACGAGGGTTGTCCGGCCAAAGCTTCTAAGCCGGATAGTGCCTCCGCGATCCGGAAGACCCCCTGCAGAACGCCAGTAACTAAACCTCAGCACGAATAGTTTGCCCAAAATCTTGTGATAATTGAGCTGTAATGGAAAACAATAAAACCAGCATCCGCCTTTCGACCTCTATTACCTGTTAGAGTATCATACCTTGAACAACCACTAGAGAAGAGTGACAACATGGCTCCAGACAGCCAGGAACCTATAGATGTACCTGTGGTCATCATTGGCGGTGGCGGTGAGTTGTTTTTGGCTTGATGCTTCTAATGCGAGATCCTCGTTGCTAAACACACACGTAGGGTGCGGTCTGAACCTCTCCATCTTCCTTTCCGCCAGGGAGATACCGCACATCTTGTTCGAAAAGCACAGCGGCACCTCGATTCTGCCAAAGGCACACTACCTCAACCAGAGGAGCCTGGAAATCTTTCGCGTTCACGGCTACGCACACCGGATTAGAGACAAGAGCGCCCCCAGCCGATGCATCAGCCAGGTAACCTTTTCGACTTCCCTTGGAGGAACTGGCCCCTATGATCGGAAGCTCTTGTATGCCAGTCCGTCGTTTGGGGGCGACGAGGGCTCTCCTTTACTCCACAAGTACATGTGCGATACCCGGATGCGTCTTACACTGCCGTACAATCCTGCTAATTTTGGGTAGGCGGGTTGCTCCTGAAAGACCTGCGAACTTGCCGCTGGTGCATTCAGAACCTATATGGAGAGAAATCGCAGAGGAGAGGAATCCTGGCAATATCAGGTTCTCCCACAGGGTCGTCGATGTTATCCCGCACGATGACCATGTGTTGGTGATTGTTCAACCTCCTGAGGGCCCACAGATCACGTATCGCGCGCAATATGTGGCCGCCGCAGAAGGCGGCAGGGGCATTATTGCCCCCAAGATTGGCGCTGTTCTTGAAGGGCCGACAGATATTGCCGACGTTGTTTCAGTCCATTTCGAGGCGGACCTGTCTCAGTATTGGGACGAGCGAACCTTGATTGCAAACTTCATCAACCCCGAAGGCGAGACGATTCTCGGGAGTGGAACGGTCGTGTGCATGGGTCCCACGTTCGGCCGCTACTCTGAGAACTGGACAGTTCATTTCGGCTTCAGGGTTGATGACCCAGCGAGATTTTCAGAGGCACAGGAACATCTGCTCGTACCGAGAATCCGGGAGCTGCTGAAGATACCCGACCTAGAAATCAAGATTTGCGCTGTTAGTCACTGGGTGCTGGAGCGTGTCTTGGCCAACAAATACAGAGAAGGGAGGATATTTATCGCTGGCGACGCAGCACATCGACGTGAGTCTGGTCATTGTTTTCTCTCTCGAACCATTTAGATGACACTGGCTTAGGTCCGCCGACTACCGGGCTGGGCCTCAACACATCTATCGAAGATGCATTCAACCTCTCCTGGAAGCTTGCCCAAGTCATCAAAGGAACAGCATCACCTAAGCTTCTGGACACCTATGAGCAGGAAAGACGTCTCGTTGGCAAGCGTAATTGCGATTGGGGGTAAGTTTTTTTCCTTGCACTATCCTCATCTTGTGTGCTTTATTGAGATGTCTGGTAAACGAACGGAAGCTAATTCTTGTTGTGGAAATTAGGTTAATGACATTTTCAAACCAAGCGATGGTCGCCGCAGCCGTTGGATTCATTCCTGGGCAAACAGAAATCAATCGTGCGCG